CGATTTAAAGTATCAAAGTGAGCATCAGGTAGAAGAGGTTACCAGAACTGGTGAGAAGATGGATCTTATCATTGCCCAGCCAGAATTCTGATTCTTGCATCCCAAATCCTTTCTTGTATGATTCCCAGTCACGGTAGAAATCCACAGATCCATCCTGCCGCCTCTGGAAGACCTGGTGGAAAGAGAGAGAATGCTACCTCAGCATCTGTTTGATGGAGAAGTTGCTTTCCTAATCTTAGGCCATTTCTGAAATGGGGGGACTGCCTTTCAGTCTGTTTTGCAAAAGACCTTGAATAGAACTATGACTCCTCTTCCAAGTCATAGCTAGGGGGCTACTTCTTGATACCATCTTTTTGCCTTCAGTTCTCTGCTATCCTGGCTCAAAACCCAACACGTGACTTGGGAGTCTGATTCAGCTCTGGGGCTACAATGTGTTCACCACTTTTCTCTTCAGATGAGAGAAGACTGATGGGCCCCTGAATAGCTGTTATTATTTTGTAATAAAAATGATAGCATGGAGTGTACTTGTTTTAATGATTAATTATAGCAATATGGGATTTTTTTTGCTCTTCTGATGCATTCAAGTATCTCTTCTTCCTCCTTCTTGGGCTTTTACTTACCAACCAGCCTCCTCCATCTGTCCCCATGTCACAGAAAACCAGCATTGGGTTCCCCTTGGTTGGGTAGATTATGTACCAGCCACTCAGAGTCTCCCCACGTTCCAGGAGGTCCTTGCAGTTTCTGGCTTCTGTCTCTAGAGAAAGAATAGGGAGAATTGAGTGATGGAGATTGTAGTTGGCACAGATAGGAATGTGCTAGGTCAGAGTAAGTTGATTAGTTGATTGGCAGATTTATAGGTATGTTGGCTTAGTTATAGAAACCTGGCAAGGCTGACATTAGCCCAGCAAGCTTATACCTATATACTTATACCTGTTATCTAATAATTATACCTTATATCTGTTAATTAATAACTAATTATTAATTAATTAATAATTAATACTTATACCTGTTATCTAATAATCACTTGAAAAAATAAAACAAACAAACAAATAAAATTAAAAAGCTTCTGCATTTGATGCTTCCAGGTTTCTTGGCCTTCAGCTCCCAGAATCATCTGGCTACCAGCTGGGTGAAAGCCTGAAGCAATCCAACTAGAAAACTATTGATAAAGAAGAAGAGGCATACCTTTCAGTTGACAATTGTCTAAGCTGCAGGCATCTCCTGTAAAGAGGGGAAAAAAGCAATTTTCATGTGCAGTGGGGTAAACAGAAAGGTTCCTAAGGCCCATACATCAGAATAACCTCTTATATGCTCTTATATGTCAGTGTATCATCCATTCTTCATAGTGATGCACTGCTCTCATCATTTGGTTCTGTATTACAAACAGTTCAACCAAGGACACCATGAATTAACCAGTTGTTAACCTAATCCTACGTAGTTTTTTCTCTGGTAATATCACACTACTAACCAGAGTATACAAAACATTTGCTAGACCAATACTCGAATACAGTTCATCAGTCTGGAACCCTCATTACGTATCTGATATTAGCACAATTGAGAAAGTCCAGAAATATTTCACAAGAAGAGTTCTCCACTCCTCTACTCGTTGTAGAATACCTTATGCCACCAGACTTGAAATTCTAAAACTAGAAAACCTTGAATTACGCCGTCTTCGGTCTGACTTAAGCATGGTATATAAAATCATACATTGCAATGTCCTACCTGTCAATGAATACTTCAGCTTCAACCATAACAACACAAGAGCACACAAGAGATACAAACTCAAAGTAAACCGCACCAAACTTGATTGCAGGAAATACGACTTCAGCAATAGAGTGGTCAATGTCTGGAATACTCTACCCGACTCTATAGTCTCTTCCCCAAACCCCAAAAACTTTAACCTTAGACTGTCTACTATTGACCTCACCCCTTTCCTAAGAGGTCTGTAGGGGGCGTGCATAAGCGCACCATCGTGCCTACCGTCCCTGTCCTATTGTTTCTCTTATTCTTTTATTTTTCTTATATGTACCCATTTCATGTATTCACAACTATGTATACACTTATACTTATTATCTTGTAAACAATTGGCAAATCAAATAAATAAATAAAAAATAAATGAAATAAAGTGTGGTCGGTGAGATAAAGGTAGGCTGGTGCTTCCCCTTTGATCCAACTCTTGCACAACCTCTGATTTCAATCAGTAGGTGTATTACCTTTGTCACCTTTGTCACCTCTGCCTCCTTTGTCTCCTTTCGGTCCAGCTTTTCCAGTTACCCCAGCAGATCCTCTTTCACCTGAAGAAGAGAAAGAAGAAGAGGAGAAAGACCAACTTAGGAGCATCAAAATACATCTTCAAAAGACTTTTGAAGCCAGACTGATGGGAATATTACAGCTTATAGAGAGCAAACAATCAAAGAGGAAAAATGTTTGGATTTGAGATGATGGCTTCGAATTTTAGCTCAGGGCTGTTGGGAGTCTTGATTTGTATGAAATTATGTTGGGTTAGTAGGTTAGTGACCAACAAATCCTTGATAGCATTGCTGATTCTCCTGAAAGGACAAAACGGTCCAATCCACCTGTCTTTAAAAAATTCCTATCTAGCATTTGGGAGAAAGAGAATTGCTTTTGTCTCTCTGCCAGCAACTTCTCCTTTTCTAGGCAAGCAACTTTATTAATACAAAGTTTGCTTCCCACTGTTGCAAGGAAAGACAGCAAATAAGCTGTGCAAAACACCTGGAATGACATCTTTAGTGGGCATTTACTCACCTGGGGGCCCCCGAGGACCCAAGTCACCCTTTAGCCCCGGTGATCCATTTGTTCCTGACACACCTGGAATTCCAGGTATCCCAGCCTGACCTTGGAGAACAATCTTGTCCGTTCCACATTGTGTTAAGCCCTTCAGCTCTGGCATAGGAGAAAGAGCATAAAAAGGACACAACATGAAAAATAGAACAGAAGCAGTATGGTCTCCTTATGAAGCAACAGGTTCACATTAAACCAAAATAGTACGAGGGAGGTGCTAGAAAATCAGGGTGGAGAAGAAGGCAAGGTGATTAGGGTGTAAAAGAGACACAAAATTTCTTCCACTCATATTTTCCACCATACACATTCTGTTCCTGGACTGTTGGAGAATGCAAGAATGAAATTAGGGGGCTTATTCCCCAAGGACTTTTCTCGAAGGCAACAGTGCATACTTCTTTTTAAAAAACCCTTGATTTGTTTTGACTCTCCCTTTCCCCCCCCTCTCCCTCCCCTTCTTTTCCTTTTAAATGAGTCTGGACTCCTGCTAGCAACTGCTGGGCAAATGCGGCTTTCTTGGCAATCTTTCTCAGAAGTTGCCCTTAGAGCTGAGAGAGAGTAACTGTTCCAAGGTTATATGACTTTGTTCTGGAAGCAGAACAAGAGCTTATGGTTCCCCAATTTCTAGTCTGATTATTTAACTGCCACACCAGCCCAGCCCTCATCTTCGCCCTTTATACACAGTGTGAAACCAGGGGCTTCCACATAAAGCACAGTTCATTAGGAGGCCCTGTCTGTATCTAGAAGATGTAGGATTGAACTTTCTTGTTCTCATATTTACCTATACAAAGTATATACATAAAGCTGGTCAGGCAAATACTTAGGCAAAGATCTTAATCATGTTTTACAGTTATCAAAACCCCATAACTAACATATACAAAATGTCATCTCAAAATTACCCTGTAGCTCAAGATCAATTCTCTGTTTTTATTTATTAAAAAGTAACATTGGTCATTAAAAAATATTCTGAAGATGCTGGTGCTTTGAAAGGAGGTCCTTTCCCTTCAAGAGCATCACAACCCATGGACTTTTTCCAGCCTTTAGGACCCTCAGGAAATGCTCAATCTTAAGGCAGAACTTCACTGTGGCCAGAATTCATCCCTCATCTGTTCCTGAGCCATCTCTTTACCTGCAAGACTGCTAGTCAGCATTGCCTAGATAGCGACAGCACTTAGACTTATATACCACTTTATAGTGCTTTACAGAACTCTCTAAGCAGTTTACATAGTCAGTATATTGCCTCCAACAATCTGGGTCCTCATGCTCCCAGTAGTTGCGGGCAGTAGAATGTGAGGCAAGTATTCCTTTTCTTATGAACTGGCTTCATTGGGAAACCAAATATCAACATTCAGCTCCTGCATATAGGGACCCCCACAGAGGCTAAGAAACAAACTGAAAGATCAGACAGCTGGAACTCACGTGCACAGCAAGTGGCTTCAGTGTCCTGGGCTCCTCCAGTGCCATAATTTGAACTAGCAACCAGGAAAATCAGGTGGAAACCAGCCCAAGGCTTCATCTTGCCTTGCCAGCTTTCTCTCTGAGTGAGAGATGTGTGGTATCTTGTCTCTGATATATATATATGTCTTTTAATGATTGCACCAACAGAGAAATCAGGAAGTGCTTACATTTTTTGAATAAGGATAAATATGCCCATATCTGTTTTGCAATGCCTGTTTGTGCAACTTCAGCAGAGTTTATTAAGAAAAAAGAGTACTCTTGAATTTTGCAATGTTCGTCATATTACCCAACCTTTCCTTATATTGAACAATGTACATATTGTAGCCCCATTGTATCAGAAAAAATCAAACCAAACCAAAAAACATATTGGCTTAACCAATAATCCTATAAATCCTTACACTTTTCCTGATTGGACAAGTTCCCACATTCACTAAGCAACTGATACTGTTGTTTTAAGGGTAAGATATTTGCTCTTGGGTTGGTTCTGAAGCACACAGCAGCACATTCATACCTTGTGAGCCAATCTTATCCTGCAAGAGATCCCTCATTGATGATAAGTTGACCATATTCCTACTTGACCAACAGTAAATCACTGATTTTATACAATTATTTTTTTCCTAAAAGAAAAAAGGCATCTTTTGTGTGCCACACTTGCAGTAATTATAATTACAGAATTACAAGTTTGCTAGGTTCCTGGGTTAATAATAACAGCCATAAAACAATGCCCTTAGCCTCTGGAGATTGGAGTAAATTTTTAATAGCATCTTGAATTGCAAGAGAAATCAATCATCCAATGATAGTAAAGTAAAATCAGATTACTCACTGAAACTATTAACAGTGAAGCTGAAACTCATCATTTTTACACATAATGCGCAGGCCAAAGTCACTGCAGAAGGCTTTGCAGTTTGAAAAAAATACAAGTCAAAGAAGAGGCTAATGGAAGGTAAGGTCCTATTCCTGAGGACAAGAGCATGTGATTATAAGAAGCTATTTCTAATAGTCAGAGAATCCTTTATTGTGCAGTCATAGTTGCCAAGTTGACATTTTGATCCCCCATTGGGGACATGGGACAGACTGAAATGTGCCAAATATTTTATTAATAATGGTTTGTTCCGTTTTGTCTGGGTCAGGGATTGTTGGACAGCCTGACTTTGAAGTAAAAATGAGCTACACTCAACTCAGAAGAGGAGAACAGCCAAACCAACACAGAGCCCAAAGGAAGACAGCAACCAGGATCCAGTCTGTGAAAACTTACTGTACCAGAGACTCTGCAATGCTCCCGTTGGAGTTTGAATCTACAGGGGAAGATGAGTTAGAACAAGAATTGACAGACACGGAGAGGGCAGCTCCGTTGGCCCTGGAGGAAACTGGGGAAGGGCAGAGTCAGTCCAGGCAAGGTTTTTCTGAAGTAGTAAGGCTTGCAGGCAGGAAGGAACAGAGGCAGGAGGAACATGAGGGAAAGAGGTTAGGTGAGGAGTTAGGACCACCCCTTCCTGATCCAAGGGCTCCGCGGAGTGAAGAGGCATGATCAGGGCAAACAGAGCAGTCTACATGCGAGGAGAGTGCCCCGCCCATCTTCACAAGGCACGGGGGGGGGGGGGGGGGGGTTTAAGGGGATGCTGTGGGGAGGCACATTTGTCGGGAACAAAAGCTGAGTTTCTGAAGTGTGCATGCCAACTTTTGAACTGGCCAAGAGTCCTTGCAGTTCTGTGGGCATTCTGGACTAATTACCTGGATCTTTTGTTTCTTGAACTCCTTTGATTTGCCCTTGATTTGCCAAATACCTTTGGATTTATTGCTGAGCAGCCTTGGTGAAAACAGAGCTGGACTGGACTAATTGCAGTCAGAAACTGCTTGAGGTTTGTGTGGGGTTTTGTTATCATTCTGCTCGAGACTTGCCAGAAACATGGGAGCATTTGGGGATCTTTGGAGCAATAAAGGGGCAGTTTGAACTGCCAGCTGTTTGTGTGATCTTTGTACTGTGCTCTGGGTCATCACAGACTCTGTCAAGGGAAGGTTCAAACAACCAGGACAGCCAGTCACAAGAAATCGATGTTCCTTGTAGCTTGTTTTTCTGCTTTAACTCAGCAGTGTTAGTCAAGCCTGACCCAGCTGCCAAGTCCACACAAATCTATTCAGCTTGCTCAAGGAAAGCCCTATTCATGCTATTTTGGAACAAGGTGCTCCAGCATCTCTGCATCTTTCGATAATTGATACAGCATCATCTTGCATGGCCATTTTGGGCTTGGACCATTTAATCTCCAATTTACTTTTGTTTCACTCTGCCCCCTCCCTGGCTCACCCTATGTATCCAACAAACTCTCTTCCAAAACAGTCTTGAAGAAGAATTCTGCAGAAGTTCACACAGGGGGTACAGAAAGAGCACTCTGGGGTTGTGTAATCTCAGGATCAATTATGGAGAAAGGGGTCTTCATTGTGTAGGATAAAACATCACATCTGACTAACCTTCAAGGAATTATAGTCATACTTTGGAGATTCAAAGACTCTGTTGCCAGACAGATTAGGGATGAGAGACAGATTTGTTTCCCTTTAGGAGGCATTTCCTCTCAGTAGTAAATTACATTGTGTGTGTGTTGAAAACACTTTCCCAAAGGTTGTAACTTTTGTAAAGCACCAGGTCCCAAAAACCAATTAAACCAATTTATTTAGTGAGTTAGACTTCCTGTTCAGTGTGAATTATGTGGCTGAATCAGTAGCTAAAAGGAAGCAAATTTTTCCCCTTACAAGTTGGTTCTAAAGATTTGACCTGAGTTATATTCTTCAGATTTCCTTGACTATGAAAAACACTGACATGGCATTCTCAGATATAGTCAATCGGTTTATGAAAAGCTTTAAAGGGTGCTTTACTAAGAGGTTCAAGTGAATCATGTTGAAGTTGATTCATAAAGCACAGACAGACAAATGAGTAGGAACTGTTGTGTTACTTTACCTACTTATAGATTACAGATCAATATAGGTAAATATCAGCTGCACAATTTTCAGGAGCACCTTTCTCTTTCTCTTCCAAAAAGTTTGCAAAATAAAGATTCTTTTAAACCCCATCCCCATGAGCCATCATGGCTCAGTAGTTTGAATGCAATACTGCAGGCTACTTCTGCTTACTGCTGGCTGCCAGCATTTGACAGATAGAATCTCATCAGGCTCAAGGTTGACTCAGCCTTTCATCCTTCCAAAGTGGGTAAAATGAGAACCAAGACTGTTGGGGGCAATATGTTGACTCTGTAAATCGCTTAAAGAGGGCTGTAAAAACACTGGGGAGCCAGTGGTGGGATTCTACTAGTTTCCCTACTGGTTCGGTGATTGCGCATTTTGTGCGTGTGTGTGCGCACCTAACGTGCGTGCCCAGCTTTCCAAACACCAGCTGAGGCTCTGCCGTGCTGATCATCTGAGAGGATAAAGAAAAGCGCAGGGGAGGGGGGGAGGGCCGCTCCTGAGCTTTTCTCTTCTTTATCCTCTCAGCTGATCATCAGAGCTACCAGTTCTGCCAAACTGGTAGGGTTTCTTTTTACTACTGATTTGGCTGAACCGGGCCTAACCAGTAGCATTTTACTCAGTGGTGGGATTCAATTTTTTTTACTACCGGTTCTCTGGGCGGGGCTTGGTGGGCGGGGCAGGGGAAGGATACTGTAAAATTTCCAGTCAGAGGTGATATTTGTCAGTTTTCCAAACAACTCAAAATTTCCGCTACCGGTTCTCCAGAACTGGTCAGAACCTGCTGAATACTACCTCTGATTTTACCACTATGTGAAGAGGTATATAAGTCTAAGTGCTATTGCTATCCCTATGTAACTAAAAAGGGGAGTACTTTAAGAGAGTACAATCCAGTGAACACACAAAGGAACAGTTTTAAAATTGATTGCATTTAATTTGCTTTTTTCAGCTAGAAAATAGAGGAGGATATTAATCTGCTAGTACTTTTGAGGTGATGTCTGTTGAAGAATCTGACCAGCTGGGGTTTCATTTATTGTGGTCTAATTTTCATATCCGCATACTTGTAAGAATAATAATACCCTTTTCCAGCAGCCCAGTTGATGCCATCAGCATAAGAGGTATGTTCCCCTTTGTGATACAGGCCATTCAGGTTGGAAGAGTGGCATTTGATGTACTACCAGCCTCCTTTGAAACTTTCGGCACAATTTCCATCATAGATATCATTGTCTCTGTTTTTGGTAGAGAATGCATGGTCATTGTGCCTTGAGAAAGAAGAAGGAAATCACAGAGGAAGAAGGAAAGAGAAGGAAATCACAGAGGAAGCACTAAGTTCATATATTCCAGGAATGCAAACCTGCAGGAGGTTTTACAAATGAAAAATGCACCTCCACTACCAAGAATTAGAAAGAGATTGAATATTAATGTGGTTTGTTTGCACTATCTCCTTGATTTGAATGTTGGCATCACTAGCCAGCCCAATCAAGATTATTCCATGTGTGGTATAGTGATTGATGTTTCTTGAAGTCATGGTCAACTTAACCTGAGTGGCTGAATATACCACTGTGATCATGATTGATAAACCAGAATGATTGAAACCTGTTAATACATTAAGCCAAAATATGGACAACTTGGCTGAGTCCAGGATCACATTTTGTTTCCTTGATCAATTGAAGGGTTATAAGCTTTCCCTTGATATGCTATCAGAACCAGAAGGAGCAGGATGGAAGTTTTGTTCACTCTGATTTTTGGGGAATATTTAAGAAATAATGTCACTGGAAAAAATGGCATTTACTGCTGAGTTTCAGTGGTGCACCAGCCATTCACTAATCCAAGGAAGTAAAAATATTTTTCTTATCATATGGGTTAAGAACATGCATTAATAAATCAATTTCTATCCCACATTTTAAACCAAGTATCATCCAAATGATTCAGACTTCATCAAAGTCAAGGTGAAATCATAAAATGATGTGTCAATTGCCACCTTTTAGAAAGAGAATTTTGGGGTTTCCTAATGAAATTAGCTTTGGGTTTGTTCTGGAAGGAGTAGAAGAAATGTTCCTTTACCAAAATCACAATGTACTCAGCATTCATTATACAATGTGGGAAGGAGAATGGGCACAACCTCTTACATATTTCTCTCCAAACCAAACTATAGAAAATTATTTTCACTGGCAATTGTGAAATACAGCCATATTAAACTTGTGAGTCTCTTCAAACAACATCAGCAATGACAGCTACAGTAAAACCCTTATTCAAACCCAGTGATGCTCAGGTGTTGGAACAAACTACCAAAAGTGGTTCACACCTTCATATGCTGCCTGACAGCTTCTGAAGGTTTCTGCCTTAGGTAGATACCCCATGAAAATTGGATCATATATTTTGAACTTATTAAAGTCAAAATGGGGTGGACAACCTGTGGACTCATCCCTCCGCAACATTCCACTCAGGGAATGAGTTGGAATGATGTTCTTGGTTCATATTTGCAGTTTGCAGAGGATATGTGGCCAAATCATTGTCCCAGTGATAGGCCACAAAGGAATTAAGCAGATCCTGGCTTAAAAGGTTTCTGCATTCTGCATCAGGTCATGTGACATTTATATTTGTTACATTCGTTGTCAGAAGGTACTCAAATGAAGAGGCATTCTCTGTATTACTCACGCATGTTGCCACCTAAATAGGAACTCACGCTTAGTCTGTAATTTTCACATTCATTTGCAATTCTGAAACTGGAATATGTTGCAAAGGTTGTGGAACTGTTGAAATCTTCCAGATCAATCCACAACTGCTGTGTTCCTGAATCCCAAAGGATAGATGTTATTAGAGAATGAATACTAGAGATGCAGAAGTCCATAAGGGAAGCATATTGATGATTGTAGTAGACTTTCATTCCATAAAGACATGTGAGATTATGAGCCATGTCTATTCAAAAGCAGTGCTAATTAACTAATATGGAAGGACAGAATCACAAGCATTAGACATTTCTGGACTTTGTGCACAATAATCCAAAAGTGAACTTTTATCTTTTAATAACTTTCTATCTACACGTGATGGGTAAGGCAGTAAGGAGGGGTATAGATTGGTGCCCGGTGTCCTGGTTCCATATACTTTTTTGAAAACAGGAAAATTTATGGTCCTCCAGAGAAAGAAGACAACTTTTTTCCTGATTCTAACATTTTATTTCTTCGATTAATGATTAACCCTCTTGGGGAATCAGGCTGCATAAAGCTGTAAGACAATTTCCAAATTATAGGAAAGAACATCTGTTTTTCCCAGATTTGATTTATAAATTTGGAATATACCATTCATCTCTATGGAAAGAAATGGAAGTTAAGTCTTATGGATGAACGCAAACAGATCACAGCGTTTCTGTTCTGCATACTGTGTTCCTGTGGTGCAAAAAGAGCCTGTGGTAATATTTATAGGCTGAATCTGGAATGATCCTCATCTTTCCTTACATAATTCATTCTGATAAAATAAGCATTATCTGTGGAAATGGACTTAATGTATATCAAACTGAGTATCAAGTAGAAGAGGAGATTTTGGGCTTACCCGAACTGGTGAGAAGATGGATCTTATCGTTGCCCAAACAGAATTCTGATCCTTGACTTCCAAATCCTTTCTTGTATGATTTCCAGTCATGGTAGAAATCGATAGACCCATCCTGCCGCCTCTGGAAGAGCTGGTGGAAAGAGAGGGAATGCTACCTCAACATTTGTTTGATGGAGAAGCTACTTTCCTAATCTTAGGTCATTTCTGAAGCGGAGCATTGTCTTTCAGCCTTGTTGTGCAAAAGAAATAAGATTGAGTCTGTCATAATTACAGTAGGGAGCAACTGAGACTGGATGTCACTGTATTTTGCTGCTTAAAAAGCTATTTTAATTTCTCAAGTCTTGGAATTGGTATAATATATTTTATATCATCTCAATGCAAAATGGCAAAAAAAACCCATAGAGAAAAAAATCCTACTTCCCATTGTGTTAAAGAAAAGGTGTTCTCAATTAAATGTTTTAAATCAACAAATCACTAAACAAATCCAAAGTTTGTCCCCCATGCTGGAAAGACCCATGAAGAACATGCCTAGTTTGGTGTGGCTATTAGACATAGGGGTCTTCAAACTTGACAGCTTTAAGACTTGTGGACTTCAACTCCCAGAATTCCTTCTCCAGTCATGTTAGCCCAGGAATTCTGGGAGTTGAAGTCCACAAGTCTTAAAGCTGTCAACTTTGAAGACCCTTGGATTAGAGCAAATTATGGCGAAGAACAAATGGATAGATCCTTCATAGATCCATAAAACTCAGTATGAAGGTTTAGAGAGATGACCCAATCAGCCTAATTTATTTATTATAAAGATGCTGTGATAAATTTATTGCTAGAGATGAGAATCCTGGCAGACCTTTGGAGGAATGCAGGAGATGCAAATATACACATTTCCAAGCAACATGAAAAAAATCAGAGTCAGAGATGTCTGCAGGGGAAGATACCAACTTAACTTTTTGTCCTTCCCCGAAGATTCCCTACTCAGATTGGAATAATAGATGAACAGGAACTTCCCCTACAAGGAATGGAGATGGTGGTCAGTGTCTGGATGACCCTGTAACTACCAATAATGGCCTCTTCTATACATTTTCTTGTTATCAAGAGAAGGGAAAGTGCAAGCACATATAGGCCTGGCTGCTCTTCTCCCTTGTTGGCTTCCTGAGGGAGGGATCCCAATGATAAGAGATGAGGGCCACAAAGTGGGAAATATCCATCCCATAAATGGGCAGCATTTGGAGCTGTGATAGCTCTATTTTAGGGCTTCCCGTTTGTTCAATCTCACAATAACAGGAAAGTGTTCTGCTGCCTTGGGCTCAAGAAGGTTTTATTAAGCCCCAGGCAGCAAATTGTCCACCATTTGTCTCTTGACAGGAGCCCCCCTCAACAGTTGTTATTATTTTGTAACAAAAACGGCAGAATGGAGATAACTTGTTCAAAAATATTGGGCTTCTTGCTCTCCTGTTACATTCAAATAGATAATCATCTCTTCTACCACCTCCTCCTCCTCCTCTGGAGGGCTCCAGCTTACCAACCAGCCTCCTCCATCTGTCTCCATGTCACAAAAAACCTGCATTGGGTTCCCCTTGGTTGGGTAGATTGTGTACCAGCCACTCAGGGTCTCCCCATGTTCCAGGAGGTCATTGCAGTTTCTGGCTTCTGTCTCTAGAGGAAGAATAGGGATGGTTGAATGGGTCAGTTCAGGCAAACTCTGCTCTCAAAATATATGTCTGGGACTGATGTTGACCTTTGTGAAGGACCACCCCCCAGTGTGAAATCACCATAATCTCTGTTGTAGGAATATGTTACGCTTGTTGTAATGCAATGAACTCACTGAGATCTCCAGTAAAAAGTGATTACATAAAGAAAGCATGATAATTCCAGGGGGAAAGGACAACCATAGTGTCCAACCATCTTTGGAACTATTGGGCTTGCTGGAAGATCATGGTGGGAGTTTGAGTGTCACCGGGGAATGTTGACACATGCAAACAACATATATGACAGTGATCTTCAGCCTGTGGTTGAGTTTGTACTAGTCCAAAACCCATTCTTAATTTGGCTGCTACAGAGTCTTTCCTTTCTCATCATAGATATATGACTCTTAGTGAAATTTAAAACTTGAAGACACATATCTTTTAGAAAGCCATTATTCCCATCTTTCAGGGCTGCAACACTTTAACATTATTTTCACTTCAAAATGTTTACCAAGATCTTACCACGTTTTTCATCACTTTTCAAGTATTTTTATATAAGTGTTCTTATTATAATTTGTTGCCCAGTCGGCCAGATATTTAGAATGGATTTGGCATTTCCCTCCCACTTTTAGCCACTGGGGGCACCTGTCTCTTGACTTATTTTTTGAAGGCAGCATCTCTTCTTATTATCCCACAAGGTCATCCACACATTCAATCACAGTTTTCTATTCCAATGGTTCCTGAGTGGCCCATATGTTGTTCCAGATGGAAGGGGCCATGACAGAGAAGTCATGCTTCCCAGGTAACTGTTAGAGCAGAACATTTAATAGAAAGGATCCACTCTGTCAGAACATAGTGGGTGGACAGACACAATGGAAGAAAGGCTGTGTCTCAGGCAACCAGGTCCTATGCCTTGCAAGAGTTTAAAGGGAATAACGAATACTCTGAATACTCTGAATTGCACCCAGAAGCCAACTGGCAACCAATGCAACTCTCATAACAGTGGTCACATATAGGCACATTGAGATGTGCTGGTTATTGCTTGTGCTATTCCATTTTGAACCATTGTAGCTTCCAGATTTAATCCATGTTTTGTAGAAATCAAAACCTGATCTAATATACAGTATGTTCTACATGAGCAAAATGTCACCTAAAAGTTATAAGACAGATGACTGTCATGTGAAAGGTATAGTTCAAGATCAATTCTTTCTTGAATTATAAAAAAACCAAAGATATTAAAAATTATCCTAACATCATTTCCTTCACTGTTGTTGTGGTTCGCGGGCAGCCGGTGCAGATGGCAGCAGAATCGGACAGTGGGGAAGAACAGAGACCAGTCAAGGAGTCTGGAGAGGACTCGGATGAAGGTCCTGTGTCCAATGCAGAGATGGGGCCAGGACCATCTGGGAGTAGGGTGCTGCCTTCGGAGCCTTTAAAGTCTGGCAACAGCGAGGCAGATGACCCCGGGGAGCCTGTTCCCAGTGCGTGTGTGTGCAGAACTGCTAGAAGGCAAGAGCAGCTGAAACAAAAGGGGCAACTTGGAAGTAAGGCTGGAAGGTGATTACCCCTCCCATAAGGTATAAAGGTCAGACCAAGATGACAATATCTTTTCAGGAAGCAAAGTAGTTTGATTGGTTCAAAGTCATTCTGAAAGCTCTTTGTACTTCGGTTGGTTTCTTTTCCAGTTCATTTGATACTTCGGTTGGTTTCTTTTCCAGTTCATTTGATACTTCTGTTTTTGGCACTGCTTCACAGAACTGAAAGGTGTGCGCTTATCTCGGGGGACACTTTAAGATTAATTCTGGCTGGGGGACTTACGGTTTGAGCTTCTTCGGTGACAGACCAAAACCTCGTCTCTGCAAGGCTTCGATCCGTGCTCGCTGCTGGAGCGCCCCGAGCCAGCTGGTTTCGGGACTAAGCCACCCCGTAGAGGTGGTGAGGAAGTGGGAGACTGCCTGCAGGGTTGAGGAGAGCCGCATCTCTCCTCCCCAGGTGGCCATTACTCCCTTTCCCGAAGGCGGTTGTAGCAGTGGTCAGAAATGGCCACCACAAAGAAGAACTCGACCGGAAAAGAATGTGCAGGAGGAAGATAAGAAGAGAAAGTTTTGGTTGACCGGGTCAAACAGCAAAAGCAACAAATAAGGTACCCTGGAATTTAAATTTAATAACATTGTTCCCAAAGAAGATTTTGAAGCTGCGAAGGAGAGAGAGAAGGGAAAGGATTAGGTTTTTTTTTTCTTCCCTTCCTGATACTGACAGCTAAGAGACTTAAGCAAGAAATTGAAAAAAATCCACTTTGACATTAATAGGCATCTAAGCTGAAAATAAAAGTCAAAGGGATAATAAAGATTTCTGGATATTTAAAAGTTTTTAAAAAGCAGGAAAGGAGAAAAAAAAAGAATAAAAGGGCAGGATCTGGAAAAATGGAGGAGACTGCCTGGAACTATGGAATGGAACTGTAACTAAAAGGAACTTACAATGAAATTTTAACAAGATTCCTCAAAGATACATTTTAACTGAAACTTTGTAACAAAATAATAGAACCCCAGGAAGAGAAAGTGGAAAAAGGAAGCAAGAAGAAACAGCCTTGGATTATTTGGATTACTTGGTGATTTTTAGTTTTTGCATCCGGATGACTAAAATTAACCGGGTGGTTGTTTAAAAGTCTTTAAAATGGTATCACTCTTAGAAGAACTGAAAATGGAACTTAAAAAATGGAAAGAAGATGCACAAGAAGGGAGAGGTTCTTTTGGCTTCGTATTTCAATTGTTAGAAATGGAGATCTGGAACTATGAGAAACAACAAGAAACGCTTGCAGAACAAGAAGATTGGGACAAAGAAGAAGCCATCTTTAATGATCAAATAATTTTAAGTTGGGGGGGAAGGAAAAGGGGGGAAAGAGAGTGAAAGGTTTAAGACTAGAAAAAACAACCAAAAAGAAGAATAATTTGAAAGATAAGTATAATATTAGAAAGCAACAGAAGAGGGGATTACAGATGAGAGAGTTAGAAGTACAGAGTCGAGGGGGTAAAAAGGGGAGGGAGAAGAAGAGGGGGAAGAAGGCAAGGAAAAGAAGTTGTAAAAGTCAGAAACAAGAAATGGAGAAACAGGAAAAAGATATAAGGATTGTAACCATAAGCTTGTTTAGAGATAATGGGTGAAAATTTAATTGCAAAAGGGATTCTGCAAAGGTAAATAAGATAGCATTGTTATATTACAAACAGAAATAATTTTAGAAAATATGATTAAAATGATGGATAAAATATTTACTGTAAGGTAGTTGAATGTTTGGTAATAAATAAATGAATTAAAATGATTGAAAGAATTAAACGGGAACATTTTAAATTATTAGTAATGATTTATAAAAATATAAGTGAGAAATATGGGGGGGGGGAGAATTAACTATGGAAAGTTTATAAGTGTTCCCAAGGAAGTATGATATATAATTGAAAAGAAATGTTAAAGATGTTAAGATTTTAATGCATATTTATGATAGAATTGAATTGGAATGGAATGTGTGCTTTATTTACATATATATATATATATAATTTTTTCTTTTTAAGAATATAGTGTGTATTTTAAGAATGTACCAAGCAGAATTCGACTGGAAGTTATGTATTATATTGAATGCTATAATCTTAAAGGTATACATTGAAGCTTAAATAAGAGTTTGAATGGATAAAATTAAAAGATATAAAGGTGTCATACTCCAATTGGTAACTACAGGGAAAAATTTGTTTAATAAGAAAAGATAATAGGAAATTGAACCAGGACAGACAAAAGTATAAATATAATGATTTGAATTGAGATGAGATAATTAAAATAAAGTTGAGAAAATTAAAAGAGGGGAAAAACTATGTAGAAAATATAAAACGGTAATAAGATATGGAATAGAACACAAGAATGAGCATGAAATTGAATATGTGTCTGTATGAAGAAGTGTAACCCGGGACCGTGCTATTTTCAAAAAAAGATGTTTTATTTGTATTATGTTTTTGTGAAAACCCAAATAAAATTTTCAAAAAAAAAAAAAGATTAATTCTGGCTGGGAATGAAAACAATTCCCAGCATTGCAATAAACTAAGTCTTGTTTTGAAAAGATGTGTGTGCGTAATTACGGTTTGGAAGCCTTGGTCAGAACAACTGTAGTCTTTGCGGTAATCCCTCTGTAGTTTGGAATGATTTTTCTATTCTAATCGGTGAACAGAGAAATGACAGAAAATGGAGAAAAAGGTCTTTAGGCTGAGAAGAAAAGCACATGTAGTATGATCAGATGGCTCATGATTTTTGCAGACACAGAGCAGCCAAGTAAACCATGTGGAAACCTCCTAAGTTTGGCTTCTACACGCACTGAGTTAAGCAAATGTGGTCCCCCCCCCATTGACTTTGCTTGTCAGAAGCCCTCTGAGAAGGCCACAAATGGGGATCATGTGATTCTTGCACATTGCAACTGTTATATGCCATACACATGCCAGTAGCCAGCACACAGATGCTGTGATGGTTGTGTGATGATTGGTCATAAGTTACTTTTTCCATCATAACTTTGAAGGATTATCAGTTGAGGACTAAATATATAACTTATATTCACTCTGTAACTTGTGATCTCAAATGGCAGGTTTTAGCCATAATAAAAATTCAATACTTTATCCTCTATACCAGTGGTGGCTAACCTTTCTGGGCTGATGTGCCGATAATTGTGCACGTGCTTGCCTGCTTGTGCTCGCGTGCCATCACCCAGAAGGCAATGTGCGTGGGCCCTCCCATGCCTCCTGTGCATGCGTGTGCAACCTGTGTGACCCGTGCTGCATGCTTCTCCCCATGCGCACGTGACCCCCTGCACACGCCACACACTTTTGCACATGTGCAAGTGTCTCCTGAGCACCACTGTGCCCCTGCGCATGCGCACCAGATACCTGACAGTCAGCTGGCAGGTGGGCGGTATGTGTGCATGCACAGTAGACCTTTTCTGGG